ATTTGCTTGTTAACGTAGCGTGCTACGATTTGCTACCGAGCTGATCGAAGGTAATGGATTCATTATTTGTAAGAATGAAGATAAACATTTTAAGTGAAAAATAAAGAAGCCTTTTTCTATGGGTATATATCCGCGGAATCTCTTTTTTGCGAAACTATGAAATCTTTTTCTGGGCAACTGAGGCGTTTATTAGGACTGAAAAAATGGGTGGAATAAACATAAAATATTACATAACATGGCCTTCATTTCGACAGAATTAATGCCACAGTGGCCCAAGATATTATTTAATATCTTGGGCCACTGTGGGCCATAATATCACGCAAAATAAAACAAAAAACATTTTTTTTTGCTTACGTTAATTAACTTTAGTAAAATTTTACTGAATTACTTCCACTATCTACGCATGTGTGCTAAATATTTTCGCAATCTATTACAAAACTGTTTTATGCGGTTATTTCATAGGACCCACGAAACATTGTGAACTCCCTGCAATGCCGTTCATGCGATTTAAGATTTGACTTTCGCCCTCTTGCTTTGCTACGCATGCACACACACAAAAAGAAAAATTAAAGAGAACCTACCAGATTTTTGTAAATTCTGGGTGACTCTTGGTACGATACGGTCCGCTGCTGCCGTGTCGACGTTTTTGGATATTTCCGGTGGCTGCTCACCCTGACAAACTGCCAATTTCTTGTATCCTCGCAACCACGCATCGAGGAGCGTCCTTTTGGTCGCCATAGTGATTAAAAGTTTAAAACTTTACATACTGTATTTTTTTAGCGTTGTACTCGTTGAAAAAAACAACCGTACATCCTCTGATGATGAGATGTTCAAAGAAACCGTCCGCGGATTTCACAGTGACAGATCTACAACTGCAGTTTCAGTGGAGTGACAGGGCGAGGAGAAAGAGGGCTGGGGAGGAGGAAGCAGACGGACTGCTGGAGACGAGGAAAACACATCCCTCTCGCTCAAGCACCTTCACTGGCGATGCCCTTTTTTTATTTCAGCATGTTTCCTGTATTTTATGGTCGTCTTTGAAAATAGGCTGAAACCGTCTAGGTGCATAATAGGGCGCCCGCCTGAAGATAGCAGGCTGGCTCGCCAAGAACCAAATGGTGTTTCGACAACGAGACACAGGAGATTCACGAAACGATCTTACGCCAAAAATGTGCGTAAGACAAAACTTAAGAACAAATCCGTATTCACGAAACGAAATTTTCGTAAGTTTTGCGCAGGTTACGACGAAATCCTACGACAGCTCCGAAGCTGTCTTACGCACTTCTTACGATCAAATCAGCATGGCCGACAGCGTCGCTCAGTTGGTCGCGACAACCAACGGATGTTTATTTTTCTACGTGCTCTTCTCACGCGTCCCGACTTCAAGCAGCAAGAAACAAGTAAAAAGTACTTGAAACAGACCACGACGAACGAACAAGAACGCTGGATCCACAGGCACCCGGGAAAAACTCCAAGGGCCACGAGTACGGACTCCGACCGATCGGCAGATAGGCCTAGCAGGCACTACGACCACTACGACTCGGCCAACGCCGCCTGTATACAGGCGGCTTTGACTCGGCGCAGCGATGATCTGACGGTCCTTGGCGAAGACCGTCTGCCCACGACCGGCTGGCGTGCTGAGTGGAATATGCCCGCGCGACCCTTGTGAACCCTTCCCGTATTATAGTTTGATCGCTGACCTCAATTCTAGATTAAGAGGTCAATCTCTTCCTCTTGTCATCTCCTTGTTTTCCGAGGCAACGGTGACGAACGCTGTCGTCGAAAAGGGGCTCTCACCGATTCTATCTCTGTTTTGTGTGATATCAAGCTCAAATAAACGCCGTATGGATTACCTTCGCAACATGGTATGTACACTTTGTTATTAGTATTCCATTTTATTCTGACACGACTGCACCTCACTGTCGATCGCTGTAACAGTTCGTGGGTCGCAATGCCGGTCCAACCTTTCTTCGCCGGGTGTCACGTCAGCATCGAGTTGCAAATGTAAAGGATCGGTCCCGAAGCGCTTATCAATTCGCGGTCCAACAGCGCAAATCCGGCACTTCGATCAAACGCGCGCGTCCGCTCCGTAGTGTAAACAAGCATTTACGTGGCTCTTGCTTACGCTGTCGTAGTTCAAACGTATCTCTTTTTAACGTCGGCTCGCTCCTGCATCTCCGAGGCCGCAAAAAACGCCGCGGCGATTTGTTCCCATCTACGTCGCTTTGCAAACGACTGACACGGGCCGTCTTTTACCAACGATGACAGTTGTGTTGACTTGGTAGCGATCGAGTTCGTAGCAGTCAATGGGGGCGGTTACGCATCCCGGCCTCGGCATTCGGGCGAGTTTAAATCGTGTTAGCGCGACATGTCACTGCACGGATACGAACCCCAGACCAGCGGTGGCAGAAAGGCCGCCTGTGTTTGTTATGAAAAATCCACGTGCTCCGAACGGCTCCGAACAAATGCCGAGCTCTCCGATTGGTTGTTCGTGCTGCCGAAGACGCCGTCGCCATAGCAACAGCACCGGTAAGTTTTAGTTTTTCCGTACGACAACGTCGCTTTCCTCCTCTCACTTAAGAACGCGTTCGTGAATACCGATTTCTCCTCTTCTTACGATGTTCTTAACTTACGAACTTCTTAGCTAAGTTGTCGTAAACTAAGAAGCTCTTCGTGAATCTGGCCTCTCCGACGACCACCGTGACAGCGGCGCTTCAACACAGACTGCGGTGCGATGTCTCCCCTTACAACCTCTGTCGCCTGCTAAGGCCTCCTCTTGCCTTGGGAGTTGGGAAACTTTTCCCCCTCAACTCGCTACATCTGTAGGCAGTCCCCCGCTCAAGAAGGGCTTTCTTTTCCCGCAGACCGTCTCCCCGCCTCGCGATCGGCTCCACACGAAAGCAATTACAAGAAGCTCGTGGTTACTCAGATCCCCAAAACAACAACAAAAACGCAGTTGAAAAAAAAAAAAAAAAATGTCAGAAGAAATTTTTGTATTTTTTGGGAAACGTCATTGCTGCAGATAGAGGCCGAACGAGGAAGCCGGCTGGCTGGCTGGACAAAAACAGTGCGTTATGCGTTCCCCCGTATGGCCAACCCGCCAGTGGAGTATGGGAGGGCCCCAGTCCCTGACTGGTGCTATACAGGCCGCAGGCGCCGGCTTTTTTTTTTTTTTTTTATTTTCCATTTTTTTTTTAAGCTGCCGCGTCGTCCGCGGTTTACTGGCACTTTGCTTTACTTAGTAATTGTTTTTTTTTCTGGAAGTTCGTGGGCGGGGGTTGCGTGTTGGGTGGAAACGAGCCGTAACAGAAACAGAGAGCCACGTGCTTGCCCTTAGCCAATACGTGGCTTGGCGGAGCTGAGCAGCAAGGGGGACACGGAGGGGAGGGGGGAGGAGTGCAGCCATTGTTCAGTACGCCTCAAGCCAAACGCACGGGGGCTCAGCATATTGCCCAGCACCCCCTGGAAAATGTCAGCGGGTGCTCAAGCCCCCGTTGCGCCCCCGGTTCCGGGGTCCCTGTAAGCTGGTGCTCGCAACTAGCGAAGAGTTGCCATACAGTAGGCATGATGCATATATTGCGACGTTTGGGGTATTTTGCCTTTATCTCGCCAGTGCAACTTTCTTTTAATGAAACATCTAATAATAACTTGACTTTCTTTTTTTGCATAATTTTTCTTCTGTACACCACATTATGTCTAGATTTTAAATCATGTTTTCCATTTTGCTGTGACCTGTCTTAAGACAGCCAATAAGCTGACAAGGCGGCTTCTTTTTAGAGCGCAGCTCTTAGGCGCCCGTTTCCGGCTTGAGCGGGGTCGCCGTCGGCGTAACCAAGGTCATCCCAAGGTCACGTGACCCCAAGGTGACCCCCACGTGACCTCCTGAAGGTCACCCCAAGGTCACGTGACCCTCCGAGGTCACCTCAAGGTCACGTGACCCCCCAAGGTGACCCCCACGTGACACCCCAAGATCACGTGACCCCCAGGTCACGCCTCCCCAAGGTCACGTGATCACCCCTCCCCGAAGTCACGTGACCCCCCCCCGGAGCATATTAAAGAATGACGGGAGGAGGAGGAGATGGAGGAGGGGTATACCCTCCCCTCAGTACCCTTCACTCCTCCTCCTCAAGAGCTGCGCTCCTATTCGGCGTTACAGGGAGTTGTAAACGGCTTTCACTTTTTTATGAATAGGCGAAACTAGAGTGAGTTTTAGGATGTAGAAGGAATGAGGAAGCCCAAGTTGCTGGATGTTATTTGTATCCTTGTTTGGCACCAGTAGTGCGCTATGAAAGAGCTTGCACACGGTACTTGGACCACTTCGACCCTACTGGCTGCCACAAGAGCTAACCCGTTTTCGACATACTTGTTTTACGTTTACGTGTATATAGTTGCACCTTAGTTATATGCGGTTACATACAGCTATATACACAAGTCTAAATGCCATGATACTTTGGCATTTAATCAATTTCAATAATTGAATGATTTTTAAAATATTGTAACTGATGAGTTAGCAATTCTCACTGAAATTGAACTTGATTACCTCTGGGCAACAAAACAAAATTTGCGTTACAATTACAACCACTTTTGCAACGACTTTGTAACCCTGCATCTCTATTGAATCTCTATCCTCACCGAATTTCACTATTACTTTGAATTGTAACAGAATAAGCAATGATCTAACATAATAAACCAACTTCGATGGAACTCCCGACTCGGCTCCCTATGACGCGATCTACCAACTTGGTGAAAGACACCAAATGTGAGGAACGTAAAGAGCCGCACAATAGATCCCTGTCAAAAGGGAGACCTTTCATTAGGAAAAAAATGCTTAAGATTAAGGTAGCCCTTATGCAACGAGAGTAATTGTTGGGCAATTGCATTATTTTCAAAAATGAATCGCTATTGTAAAAAGCTAGGTTACTGTAATCATATTGCATTCCAGAAGTAATTTATCCAAGCACGCTGTCCAGCAAATGAGCCAGGGGAGAAAAAACAACTGTGCAGAGAGGGGTGTCCACCACAAATTTATTGCTCGAAGCCAAGGTATAACTACATAATGCTGGGTGTCCTGCCGAAGACGAGACAGTCAACATCTGTTCACAGGCACTACAACTACACACGATTGCTTGGAGAAACCTAAAACAAAAGTCTTCCAGTGGATCACATTTTGTGGTCACTTCCTAAATACTTTTTCAAGAACCAGAACTCTTAATTAAGCAAACCCGTCTAGAAGGGCTAGAGTCACAGATAGAACAAGAACAGCGAAGCATCGTTGAAGGTAGGAAGCTCCTTCCTGCCATTCTCAGCTTGTAAATAGCTATGGGTACTGCGGCAGTTTCAATGGCGATAACTCTGCCTTTGCAAGCAGAGGCTGTGCAAGTCTGCTGTTTTCCCTAGGTTTCTCCAAGCTCGCATGCAGTTCAAGCTGAAACACCGCACATAGATGCTCGTGGCTCGCGTGCTAAGCGTGGAATGTGCCGTCGTGCAAAGTAATTGACGGAAAAGGTCATCTCCTGGGCACCTTCATTTGCCCGAAGCACCGACTAGCCCCTCGATTGCCTTGCCCGCTGGCTTTAGCGCCGAACATGACTCGCAGTCTGCGGCCGGTGGTACGGCAACTGTTTTACGACAAGGTCTTGCGACTCTGACTAGTGCAAGCATTGCTGCAACAAGCCGCAAAGCTTGGCAAGCATGCTGGAAACTAGAGTGCTCAGAATGTCTGTGTGTTTGGTCATTCCAACACCCACAGCCCTGGCGTAGCAGTTGCATGACTACTGAGAACTTACGGCAACCCTTGCCCTCCCGCCAATGGGTATGCCACTGAGCTAGGTTGCGACCACTGGCTCTGGGGCTATGAGAGCCAAATGAAGAGACGCACACTGAATGCTGTCATAGCACTGTAAATAGCTTGAGTCCTTCATTCTCAAATGCCAAGCCACACAGCTGCACGGGCTCGTCCTTTGGTCCAAATGTGAGAATAAAGGAATGCAAGGAAAACGGATGCCACCGTCGAAGAAACTAGGACTACATCAAAGTATACTTTTGGGCTCGTTCTAAGACTTTCGGAGAACGCAATGAAGAAAGGTAATCGAGACGCCCGAATCTTTGGCGACCCGGCGCCTCGATAAAATAAATATGTACAGCACAAACGAGGGTTCTTTAACAATGCGTGGCCGCTCGTACACAAAATACTATACACAGTGGCAATAGCACATCTTTGGGGGAACAAAAATGGAGACGGGCCTCCGTCTTCTTTCTGTTCAATGCCATCATTGTGAGCTAGGTGTGTCTGTGTTCCCAGTCTGCCTTGCTTGTTCGGCTAGATGTAATACAGCCGAACCTTGGACGTGCTCACAAGAAGGTTGTCATCGAAGAACTTCGTCTCTATCACAACATTCCCACTGAAAGGGGAGCAAAAGAAAGATGGAACTCTGTTAGTAAGTGCAAGTAGAATGAACAACTACACCAAATGTACATTTCCGTATGGTGCTTCTGCTGAAACGTCCTAATACCCACCAAACCCCAAATAAAAGAAAAAAGTCTAAAGAAAATGTGACATGGCTTCACACCACACCTGCAGCCTCCCAAAGCTGCAGTAATCCCAATTCATCAGTTACTATGCAATTTCCCAAAGTATTTATTATTTCAAGCTTCTAAACCAGGGGTTCCCAAACTGGGTTCTAGGGAACACAGGGGTTCCACAAGCTGGTCTCATGGGTTCCACGAACACCCAAATTGCAACCCCCCCCCCCCCCCCCCCTGCCGCAGGCTGCGCAGCAGGACCATGCAAAGCGCCTTCATCTCACTTTGTACTGACATCGTTTGATATGGTGGGGATATATGGGAAGCAACACAAGCAAAATTACCTAAAATTGTGCATCTGTTGCACCTCGGTCGGCAAATATGGAGGGAGGGGGGGGGGGGGAAGTCCCGCGGCAGTTTTTGAGGCTTCCTGGGGTTCCGTGAGACCAAAAAGTTTAAGAACCCCTGTTTTAAACATTTCACATACATATGTAAGCCTACAAGTGGTGTGAGGGTAAACACACCTGCCTTTGCACGACACTAAAGGCAACCTCCACAAGTGCTGTGTGTTTTGCATTGTGGTAATTTTGAATTCTGTCATTCCTTTTTTATGCCATTTGTCATTTCATGTTCAAAGATTGCCCTTCGCCATTTTTTTAAGTTGTTCCCTTAGCAGCGAAGGTCCTTGTGCGAGTCATGCTGTCAAAACAGCAACCCAGTTTTAAAAAAATCATGGACATATGCAAACTACTGGCACAGCATCACAGTGCGAGGCTGTAGCAACCCAGAATGTTAAAAAAATGCATGAAAACTCCCAGTGCAACACACACCCCTGCTTTCAAGGTTAAGAGTGTACTTACATTCATGACACGGTTTTAACAAACCTATTCACTAAAACAGCATCTATGGACATCAATACTAAGTATGGTGCGGTTGTACACATTACAAACCGAAGTTTGTTACTTCGTGATTTTTACACTGTCCACGCCCAGCATTTTCACACACACGGCATGTATTCCAACTCGTCTGCTGACCGCATCACCCTCCAAATGAGCCAGCTGCATCCGATGACGACTATTATTAAATACAGAAGAACAGTAGTCAGCTTACAGTAAAACTATTTACTATATCACCATTCTTCTAGAACTATATCCACACTTCAAAGGCCCATACCAGCATTTGAAGTACTCATGCAGCTTTTCTGGATAGTTGTGTACAATACTTGTAAAGAAAAGGACAGAAATGGCAAAGACATTGAAAGTCACAAATATGAGTTCTTGGTCATGGCTAACTTCAGCTGGAAGCGACTTCTAAACTCAGGGTTGTTGTTGGTGCTCTGCTTTGTTACCTCTGCATGTTCCTTTAACAAACCTTCTTATCTGACCTGTTTCAATTACATGCTGTCTCACCAGCAGATCCTCGCGTTCACAACAAGCACCTTTTTCTTTCTTTTTTTTTTTTTTTTTTCCCGTAGGGCTCTTTTTTGAGATTCCAATCTTGATTATATGCGAGCACTCGCAACCTTCGAGCTGATTGTTGCGTGGGTGTGGTCATAGAGAAAAAGGTCCCAGGGTCAGACTGTAAACCGCAAGTAAATCCGACTTACTTCAATACGTTTGCAGGCATCATCTGAGATTCGGGCGCTGCCTCTATTAACGACTGCCACGTATTGGTGGAATTGGGGATGACGAAACCGAACTCGAAGAACCATTCTGTAAAGAATGCAGTAAGGCACGGTGAAGGAGACGATAATGGCAATACACACATTTTAACGACAAAAGGGTATCCATGGGTCAGGAGTTCTCAAACTGGGCTCCCAGGAGCCAAAATGTTTCCCAGAGTACTTCTAAAGTTCCCACAGTACCCTTTAGGTTCCCCGAGCACTCCGGCCCAAAAGTATACTTTTTCTTTTCCAGTTTAAGCACTATTTTAGCAGATGCAATTGAGCCGCCCATTTTTGCATAGCTACGAGTCAAACGGCTTGTAATGGGCACATTATTGTTTACAAAGTCTGAAGGCTTCTGTACTGCTATACCGCATTAATGCCGACAACAGGAGGGGTGCCTCAGCCACATCTCAAGGCACATGGGGATTCCTCGAGATCTATAAGTTTGAGGACTCCAGCCCTAGGCAACAGTGGTGGTGCGTGGTGACAGTAAATGTCCCTATACCGTGCGCCTTTCAGTCTAAGGGAGCATGCTGATAGGGATAAGGCTACTCCAGGAAAGCAAAGAGCCGTTTGTCTGGCATGATGGGAGGGGTAAGAAGAAAAAGGAGGATGGAAAAGAATTTTGTCATTGCTATGGATATCTAAGACAATGTCCGCAGTGTGACAATCTTCAGTGTAGCTGGAAGTGTGGGTTGCGGTTTGGGACATTCAATGGAGTTTGAATTCTGGGGGGTCAGACGTTTCAAGCAGGCGACCGCAGTCTAGGCGATTGTGAACCGTTCTAGGAAGTGTCGGGGGTGTGTATGATGAGACAGGTTCTCAGAAAAGTATAAGGGTTGAGAGTGGGACTTAATGCATAGGTTGTCTGAAATATCCAGGCTGAATTTAACCCTTTCCCTACCATGGACGACCTCGGTTCGTCCACACTGTTTGTACCGCTCCCCCCCGACGACGAGCTGGGCTCGTTCACGCTACCATGGACGAACTGGGCTATACTCCGTTTCACCTTATGTTGTACCGCAGCGAAGGCTAGAACCGCGAGCTCATAGCGTTTGCAGCTGCCCTTCGTGCACGGGAGCTTGTGCCGCCGAGATGTGCCTTAGAGCAAGGAGCTTGTGCATGTAATCGGTATTTGCAATTTTTTTTTTTTTTAATTTTTGCGGTAGGCAAAGGGTTAAAATGGGCCGTAAAAATCGGCACCTACACGTAGCAATCTAAACTTTTCATCAAAGGTGTATTTCACAGGTCGGTTCTGTCTTGTAAAATTACGAAGTTTAGCTCCATTTCTGTAAAAAAATAGTAGCAAAAAACTTGCCCGGGTCAATGGCGGATGGCGACACAAGACGACCAGGTCGAGTGGCGGGACACGTTTGGCACACGTATTGATAGATGGCACTATTTCCTCATCAAGACTGCTCACGACAACTGTGGCTATCGCGAGCAGTCTCGATTTTGTAATGTACCTTTGGTTTCAAAAATAAACGTGGATAATGATTGCAAAACTTGAAGTAACAAAAGTTTAAAAAAGGCAGTTGCGTAATGACAGTGCTAACGACGCACTTGCTGCCGACAGATTTTGTCTGTATGTCGTTTGCTTTACTTCGCTGGTCGACTAAACCTTCCGATGCTGCTTCTAACGCCACCCATCTATCAATATGTGCGCCAAACGTGCCCCGCCACTCGTCTCGGTCGTCTGCGTCGCCGTCTGCCGTTTACCCTGGCAAGTTTTTTGGCCCTTTATTTTTTTTAAAGAAAAAGAGCTACGCTTTGTAATTTTACAGGGTAAACCGTCCTGTGAAATACACCTTTGAAGAAAAAATTAGATTGCTACGAGCAGGCGCCAATTTTTACAGTCCATTTTAGATCGAGCTTGGGTTTTTCAGACACCATATACATCCCGCTTTCCCTCGTCCCTCATTCTGTTTTGCCACTGCCATGTTGCTAAGAAAAAAAACTTGAAACTCGCTCTAGAACTTAACGCAGAAAGTAGATCTTCCAGATATCTTGCAGACATATTAACTTTCTTTTCTTTTGTTGCATACCCTGGCACGAAGGCATGGCAACATCCAAGCGCACGTCGGCACTCAAGTATCCAGGACAACATACCTTCAAGGCATCGTCCTTTGAAGAGCACCTTCTGCTCCAGCCGGAATTTTTCCATCGACTCGACAGAGGAGAAGTTTATCTCCCTTGACACAGCCCGACATTTCAGTATCTTTTTTGGAACGCGGGCTGGAACAGACGTACAGATGACATTAAGCTCTTTCCTTACAGAGACTGTCCTCGTTTATGTTCTGTTCAGCAAGCTTATGCGGAGAGCAAGTTGTCTGCTTCTTCTGCAGGAGTTGCTGTGACGTCAGGACACCGAGCTCCGATTGGCTTGATTGAAATGATAGTGGGTAGACCTCAATGCTAGATGACTTGAGGTCAACACACTATCATTTTAATCAGCCAATAAGAACTCAGCGTTTTGACATCATCGCAACTGCTGTGAAAATGCAGACAAACTTGCGCTCCACATAGGATGCTGAGAGTGTAAACCATTAGAGGGCACGATGCCACATGAGAAGACGCAGGCATCAGAATGAGTTCACAGATTTTTCGAGCAAACATCAATAGAGTATGCATCTAAAAAAAAAAAAAGCAGCGGAAAAGTCAGCTTGTCTACAGTAATGAGAGGAGTAACCTCATATGTGAATTTCAAATCATCTACAAGCAAGCAGGCACATCAAGTTGAGCCTAGCAATAAATCAATGGTTTTGTGCGAAGACCTTTAACAAATACAGCATTTATCAGTGAACCAACCTTGCATGTTACGGGACCTCCACTTTATTTTATATATTTATTTGTTTTCGTGTTTATTTGCCCATTTCTTGTTCTCTCCATCTAAATCTGGTTTTTTTTGTTTTTTTTCTTCTCTCTCATCGTCTTTCCCCAGCACGAGGTAGCTAGCGAATACTATTCAGCTTGGTTAACCCCTTCGTCCTTTCAATAAACCAATTTTACTAATTGCTAAAGCTCAACCCATAAATTGGTCCTCTTTTATGTTAAATCAGTCAATCAACACCTTGATGCTTTCTATATAATCGAGTCTATATTTGACTCAATAGGTTCAGATCCTAGCCAAAAGTCCACCATGGACATGAGTGATAGAACTTAATTTTAACGAAGTTAATAAACTGCTGACGAAGAGTTCAGCACTGCTACTAATAGTTTACTGTTACTGTATTATCAACGCTTGTCGACTCATTCATTTCCTGAAGTCTAGTCAATTTCATGTCCGTACAGCTAAAGGTATAAATAAATGTGCAAATAAATAAATACCTTCGTGCTCAACGTCTGGCTTCGATCTGAAATTGAACGGGGAAAAAAGACCAATTACGTTTCGTCCTTCAGAAATTTTAGTCAGAGATTCACTCACAGATCGTCAGTGCCTTGCCAAAGGACTTTGCCTGTGTCGGCGTCTCTCAAGTTCATCCAGTTCCTAGGTGTATTCGGAGTTAAGGAAGTCGCCTAGGCTTTGTAGGAGAACACTTTCCTTGAAAACCCAAATCAGTGACTAGTCTGCAGATAGCGATCGAATCCAGATTCTACGATAGAGGCGTAATGCAAGGCCATTTAAATGCCGATAATCAATGTTGCGTGCCAAAAGGTATGGAAGCTACTCGACAGTGGTCTTCATGAGTCTCGTTGAAGCGGTCAAAAGGATACAGCTTGAATCCATTGAGTATATCCTCGCCTTTCGAAGGCATTTAAAAACGTCTAAGCGTATAAAAGCAATCTCAGCACAGAAATTAACGAACAGTTGCGAGAAATCGACAACCACTCCCGACAAACAGACAAACATCCACAGCCGATGCTGGCCGATGTTTACGAGACTAGCCGCGAACCCGGCGTGCTTTCGCGTAATTTACAACTTTTACCGCTGTTTTTACAAATAACATCAACACCGATATAATTAAACAAGGCATCAGACCTTAACTAAATTACAGTTTAATTAAATAAATTAATAAAAATACCCATTCAAATAGAATTAATACTCATTTAAATAACAATAAATAAAAATTATTATTTCTGTTTGGCTGCGTTCGAGGGTACGCGAGCAGGTGATGAGCGAAATGAGCGATCAGCCGTAGCGATGTGATGTGGTGGATGAACATGACTATTTACAAAAAAACAATCAAGAACGGAGCACTGGGCACTCATCAGCGCTTGTACGGTAACTGTAAATTGGATTAACGTATGTATCACTGCCAGTGCTTTCTGCGTAACGAAGCCCAGCTTCGGGGCATAATTGCTCACGGGACCACTTATTGAGCGACAATCAGCAACTCTTTAATTAATCAACCCTTTAAAAAATTCAATCCACGTAAATTAGCGACTCGCATTGTCACGAGCGTACTCGTTAATCTCACACTCACGGTTCAATCAGATTGAAACCTGACTTAGGAATGAGATTCGGGGCGAGTTCCAAATTCTGGTAGCAGGCGAATTTTGCGACTTGAAGGAAGTCGTCGCAGTAGCAAGTGCAGCGTTCACTTCGAGGTTCTCAATTTGCTTTAGCTTTTTTTTTATTCGGGGAGTAATATGTCTCTGCGCGATCTGGTTGAGGCCCAGTGCGGCGCCCCGAACGCGCTTGTGAAACTCACGGGTCACGTCAGCCAAGACAGAGCGCTACAGCAGGTAAGGGCTTTTCACGTACTACGCGCCTGTACGCTTCAATTAGAAGCGGTAAAAACTGATTGGATGAAAGGCGCAGATGCAACTACGCTCTTGCCTTGGTCCTATCTGTTTTTATCCTTTCTGACTGAACTCTTCATTTAAAAAAACTTGCTTTTCTCAAAGGACTTAAACGTGCTGTTTTTCAGGAAGGACTCATCCGAGAAAGACACGGTCGTCCACTCTCGGTAAGAATCAATGTACAGACGCACAACCGTACTCAACAGCTGAGGCACTGCTCACCCTTTCCCCGTCGTTTTTCACACGCTGCAAGGACAATGCAAGGCCCTCTCTCTCTCCCCCTCAATACACCGCCTCCGATTTTGCTTTGTTTTTAATATTTCACTACCTCAGAATTGAGCTTTAAAAAAGATACATAAAACTTCCTGCACAATTGTGTTTGCAAGCCCAATTTCAGGTATGTTTGGAACGCAAATTTTGCAAGGCGTGCCAAGTGTATTGGTCCTTCCGGCTGCACCGTGTACCTATAATTGATTTGTGAGTCAGTCAAGCGGTGTGTAAAAATATGAAAGAAAATTTTTAAAACAAAAAAAAAACCTGCAACCAATTTTTTTTTTTTTTATTTGTATGTGTAGCGCGTTTTTGTTGCTATTTGGTCTCGACACAAATGAATCCAGTGTTGTGATTCAGTAGGCTGGTTTTCGAACACTGCAATATATAGATTTATAGTTCTTGCATTTGATAAAAGATTGATGTAGTTGAAATTTTAGCAAAGTATACTGCTTTACAAAGTGCTTGACACATGAAACAAATAGGCGCCGGAGTATGGATGCGACATAGCCCGACACTGGCTTACAATAAAAGCTTGAATGATATACCACATTGATGAGTTCAAAATAATAAAAAGAAAAAGTAATTTGAGAGTCAATGAACTGAAGGGTATGATGGCAGCAGTAAGGTTAGAATGCAAAAATACTCAGGGGAAAACAGAATAAGGGCATGCACAACACATCATAGCTTTGACCAGTGCTTTGATTTCCCGAGCGGCGGCGTGTAAAATACTGACCCTTTCATGTTTCTCGCAAAACCGACATCACAACCTATGACTCATACATAATTTTTTAAGTGTTTGGATGAAGAGGAAAAAAAAAATGCATACGTTATCTACTTTACTTTTTTTTCTAGAGCACCTTCATTATTGAAAGCATACTGAGGCCTTTCTAGAAACATATTTCTGCTGTAAGATATTTACGTGAATTGTGGATTGTTTTTAATGTCCCAGTCTTGTAACCTGCATTGATTTCTCGATACTGTACTTGGTCATGCGTTGTATACGTATACTGGCGTCTCTACTGTGCGCAGCTCACGAAGCAATCTGTATGACTTGCCGCGTGCCTCGATCAGTTGGTTGCTATTCAGGCTTAAACAGATTCCTTCTGGTTCTCTTTGCAGGCACAAGCTGGCACTTCTGCAGAGGTAACTACAGAATTCACCAGCAGAGTGGTGCTGGGCATGACTAGACCCACTGGAGAAGCTACTCTTAAAGTACAGGCACTCCATTGCCCGATTTTCTTGTGGGTGCTGCCATTTTGGTACTTGGTGCATAGCAAGCGCAGAGCAAGCTTAGGCAATATCGTTTTGCTCTGTAGCTGATTGTTTTCACGTTTGTAGAAGATGCAGAAGTGTTGCTCATAAATGGCGGCAACATTTCTTCAGAAGAAGAAGAGCATTAACAAAACGAGCAGCGATGTGCGCAGCAGCGCGAATGGTTCCGCAACGGCCGCGAGGCTGTTATCGCCTAAAGTTCCACTGCATCGAGCGCTTCAGACTCCCTTGCGAAAGAGGAACAGATCACTTGCCTGGAAAGCCACCGCCGAGAACAGAAGCTACAGCTTTGCTGCTCTTCCTTCTTTAACAGAGTAGAAAGGCTGAAAGATTTTTTGTTTTTGAAAAAACAATGCAGTCCTCTTCAGTATCACCTAGGAAGATCACACGTCGAATATTACGACGTAGTTCTGTCTGAATGTTTCTTAAACGGTACGGCAAGCTTTGCAACTCGCCAAGTTGCCGAAATCGGCTGACTCGAGTGGGCGAATTGAGCCGCAACCAACAGCGCAATCAAGGCTATGGCGTGGGCGAAGCCAACTTTGAGCTAAACGTCATCACCATTGCTCCCTTTTGCTTGTTTTTACTTCTCCCGGGAAGCGTAACGGGGAAAGTCGGCAATGTTTCCTTTTTGCGCTCAGCAGTGTCCACGCGATTGGCGTACGTGCCTCCGCAGTGCGCTTCTTGGTGGCCATCCGGCCGCCCCGCCATGGTCCCACTGTTACCGCCATCTCCTGTGTCACAATTGCTGTCTTCGTCTCACCGTTTGTGATTATTTTCTCGGAGTTTCGTCCACATTATGGACACTATGTGTGCAAACTTATGCTGCAGTTGTGCAGACGTCGTCAAATGTCGTAGACACCAAAACATGGGGAAGAATGCTGTGCAGACGACACCTGCACCTGGCACACGCCTGCCCCAATCCTGCCCGTCGTTGCATGGAGGATCATTTGACATCTCGTACCACGTAATAGCCATGTTCTTGGTAGCCCGAGGCCAATGTTGCCGGACGAAGCCGAAGATTCGGCTTCGATTTCTGCTCGTGTTTAAAATTAGGTTTAAAAGTGTATACCCGATTTTTCGTTAACCAAATGACATAGTGTCTTTTACTAGGGCTTTTTAATGTGAAATCACTCATTATCTCGAAATCTTTGGAATACAGCGGAGTTGCCCTTTAAGGGGCTAAGCGTGGCTGAAGTGTGGTTACTTTAAAGCATAGGTTTTTGAATGGTACTTAACACACGCATGACGCTTGAGGGACGGGTGTGCAACTTGGCGCAGCTTGTCGACGAGTTTCTGGCCGAGAGACATGGGCCCGGCCTTCGGCAGAGGATGGCGCCTCAGACTTTCCACATGGCCGCCCTGCTCCAAGAGATGCAGGACATCGAGAAAGTCTACCAGGGCATGCCCCAGCCAGGTGACTGCGCCGCCTCTCCTCCCTCTTTCATTGTCTGGGTTCTTTGCCTCGTTGCTCCAAACGACACAGTGACCTGCAGCGCATCTTCTTATGAGGGCGAAAAATGTTGCGTTTACTTTCACCCTTTACAAACATTGCTTGCATGGAATTACTGTGTTACGGAGCGCAGGTATTCATGGTCAGTCATTGTAATCTATGGAAAGAGCCTAGTGGATGACAATCAGAGACATGCTTGTGCACAAAATGCTGTGTGCATGTTGCTGAATGCTGAATACTGCACATTTTTCTGGACGCTGAGTGATGTTTTACTTGCTCGGAACCCAGCCCAGAACATTTTCTGGACCTTGTCATTCATTCGGCTCGTTACGTTGGATCGGTTGTCTCCGTACACTTTCTGAGGGTGGGTGGGGGCCCATAGCACAAACAACCCAGGCTGTAACTCCACATAGTACTCAGTTTGGACATCATTCAAATAAAAGCAGTTTTCTTAGTATATATGTTCATTTAACCTGAATGTAAACATGCACTCTTACGAAGCATTACAGTTTATGCGTAGCAGCACTGATAAGCTCTAGTTAAAGCGCAGGTAGGACAGACGACGCACTTGTCGCATATCATGCGAAGGTGATCACTTGGACAGCCTTTTTCACGCACATGCCAAGCACAGCTCATTGATGTCTCTTATCTCGAAACTCTTTCCCATCACATTCAGGGGAGGATATACCCTAGCAACAAATGGAACCACTAAAGGCGCACTGTCAGTGCCACGGCAACCAATCAGATTGAGCCAAGACTGATCTCTGTCCACTGTTGGGTGCTCACATACTTTTCTGGTCAACGACAGCCAAAGGCATTGCCTGTTGCAAATAAATTCGCTCGTTTGGCTCCACAAAACAACCAGTTTAGTAGGGGAAACATTGAGAAACTCGATTTCGACGTGCGCTTACCGCAGAGTCGCAGCCTCAGCGGCGAATTTGGGCGACCCATCGCTGAGAATGCTTCGGTCAGCACACGGGTATGAGGGAAATGAGCACAGTTGTGTTTTTCCTTTTTTGTTTACAATTTATTTAAAGTGTAAGCTTTCATAAGAAAAGGTTGTTCAGATTGACTCATGTCACCACTGCCATAGAGCATAATGATTGGCCATTTGCGCATGTTCCACACAAAGGTAGGCGCACGGGCCCCAGTTGTAAGCGGATGTAAACTCCGAGTGAGCATGACTTAGCTCGTGGAAAGGATTTACACCATTTGATGTCATATCAGTGTCATGCCGTTGCCTGCTGCGATCCCGGTCGCGGCACAGCCACAGAAGCAGATGCGGCAGGTGCCCTTTCCGCCGTGGGTGTCTCCACTGCCAGATGATCGATGGAAACCAAAGCAGACGCGAGTCGAGACACCACCACGACAGTGATCCCCGCATCTGCTTGTCTCTTTTGCCAGCATTTTTATGACCATCCGCTGGGACTGCGGCGTTCAATAGCATGACACACCGGCCCCTGCGATGCAATTTGTTGCCACTCTGGGACCATTCTCGATGTGTGGGCAGGATAGGACGGTAAACGCACCGGTCGAAGACGCACTCCCGGTACTGTAGTGGCACTGTTCAGTGTGCAATGGACAGTTTCACATCCCGCGTAACCGGAGGGACGCTATTGTTCCAGTTGCCGGGGGCCTGGGCACGTCCAAGGAGTGGGCCAGGGAGTTCCTGCCTCCCTCAGAAGCCCCGAAGCCGGCGCATCCTGTGGCTGCCACAGCCGCAGACTGGTCGCAGGAATTTGCGGCAAACCGGGGGACGGTTGGAGTGTCTTCGGTCAAGTGGGCCGAGGAGTATCTCGTGGACAGCGAGGACCTTGCCGGGTGAGTGGTGCAGTTCGGCTGCTTAACTTTGTCGTAAATGGCGGTTCAGGTCGTAATGTTTTACGGCTTCCAAGTTGTGCCGCGCGATTCAGGCCCCCAATAAACTGTGGGTTTGACGAAAACTTTGGTACACTGTAGTAAGTTGGGCGGGTTTAAAGTTGGGCACAAAAAGGTGAGAACAGATGAGAGGAATGCTTGTCTGTCGTCTACGTGTTTCTCTCCTCCGTTCTCGTCTTTTTGTGTGCAATTTTAACCATGTGCTCAAGCTGGAGCCAATTTCTATATTTTTGCTAACGAATCAAACGAAAAATATAACCCTCACAGCATACACCTTGCACAGTTAAGGTCCATACTATAGTCAGTTACAGGTTATGAAAAGCTTTCGAGGGAAAGGAGGGCTGGGTTGGAGGAAGCAGACAGAATATTTGAGAGGAGAGGAGGAAACACACTCCTCTCTCCAGCGTTCCGTCTGCTTTCTCCTCCCCAGCCTTCCTTTCCCGTGAAAATGTTCCTTAACCTGTAACTGATTATATAGTACATATGAGAAAAAACCACATATAAGTCGCACCGTCGTATAAAATGCGTCGGCGAAAATTGGGGGGAAAAAATGCTGCATATATGCAGGAAAATACAGTATTCTGGCCATAGCAAGGTACTATCAGAGTAGAGATTGCACATTTTACACCTCATTCTCCCCACAGCTCAAATGTTTCGGCTGAAGAATTGAAGCACTGGTGACAATTCATTTGACAAACACACCGCCGACAACTTGTTCATGAAACAGAATTAGCGTGCAGCTTCGAGCAATGCTCTGGTTATAACAAATCTCATTCGCTGACTGAATCTGGCCCATCTTGTCAGCCTCACTCTTCCTCATTTCATTACTGCGATGAGGAGTGTGGCAAATAATCCATTTGCTCAATTTCTTTGCTGCTAGTGTCAAAGTGTGACAATGCAGAAGGACTGTTTTACATTTGAGTACATTTTATTGGCCATTTTGGAACCTCTATCATTCATACCAGCTCGAGCAAATAGTCTTCATGACATCAGTATATATACTTGTTACTTCTGTACACCATGCTTCGATGTCTGCACTCTATTAGAAAGTAGAAACTTGGACTAAGCAAAAATATGTTTGAATGGGATATTCAGGGCAAGTAGAAAAGGATTAAGGAGAGGGGAGCAAAATAGATAATTAGGCTAGTTGGTATACATCGAAAGAAAAATAAACGCCTCAAAGACAGGGACACAAAACAAGACAACAAGACGGGAGACTATTAACAGATAAAAGCTCTGAAGTAAGCTCTTATGTCAACAGAATTGGCTTTCCTGTTTTAATGTGTCTATTGCATAAGGCCTTACTGTTTTCCAGTAGAGGGCCCTGAAAACGTCTGGGAACTTCAGCGTAGTACTATACAGGTCTCTAAATCACATGTAATGTGCCTATTTTGATCACCTACCTTTCTTTTTAACATTGGGTGCCTCAGTGAGGCCTTGAAATTGTCAGTCTCTATTCAAGCAGGGACTGCGGCGTGTTGCCGCAGTCCCTGCTTGAATAGTTGCTACCACACTCTGAAAAAATATGCCGAGGTTTGCTCAACAGTCACTCTGCATTGTGCTGCGAATTGCAGACTGGAGTTGCGAAACGAACTTGATCTGGTCTTTGTGGCTTTTGAAAGCCTAGCTGCCTATGAAGCCAGAGGTGCTCACTTTTTGACACCAATGTAACAATACTTGCAGTCGTGCATGGACCGAGGCAGCGGAAGGAAACAAAAGCTTATCCGAGGTCGCAGGGGAGCTCCTCAAAGGCGTCAACGACGACGTCATGATGGAAACGGAGGTGAATATAAAATTCTACAAAGATTCCGCATTTTCATCAAAGTGGCACTGCACCTAACGCTAGCCTCAGAACCCAATTCCAGAATCTCGCCGTAGTATTCCTATACTCTGTGTGGGCAACCCATCTGGAATTACTTGACTGATAACGCCCACGAATCAATCAAGGAGTCGCTGCTGCAATGAACTTCTCTTTGTCACTGTCTGTGTAGTTCATGCAGTTCGTGAAGGAGCTAAGCCAAGGCAGCGCGGGCTTAGACGAGCCAGTGTCGGCTCAAGCTGAAGACTTTACTCGAGAATTCGTTGAGGCCCAGCAGCAGCGGAGGCAGCAGCAGCAAGCGCAGGTAAAGAAACGACGGGGAGCTTGGAGGTGTCAGGCAGGCTGTCGAAAACGAGTAGTCGCTTCAACCGCATTGGACGTTTGCTCAAGCCCTCGCTAGCATTCTTTTGCATTGTTTCACTTTGCATTTGTGGTGTAAACGAAAGAGGAGCTGATGTACCTGCTTCATTCAAAAAGTGGGCTATATTCTTCTTTGAAGGTAGAGTAAGTAGACAGGCAAACTGGTTTATGTTACACATTTTATAAAAACCAGAGACGACGGACGAAAATGGGGACAAGCTCAAAACAGCTAAAAAGAAAGTCGAATTTGGGGGTTTTACACGCCAGGACGGGCATCTGGCATGCCCCAGCAGAGGACTGAGGATTAATTTAGACCACCTGGGGATCTTTTGACAGGCAACCGAAAGCTCAATTACACGGCGCCTTCTCCGCAATAAACCTCCATCCGATTGCGGGTACCTCGGTCAAGATTCGAACCCGCCACCTGGGGATCTATAGGCCGGCGGCGCTTTCCCTTGGAGCCACCAAAGCGGCTTAAAAGAGCCCAAACGCAGCTACTAAACTTATTGGCAGATTTGAAATGTACCCTAGCTTAAAGGGGAAATGCAACGATTTTTGCACTTTGCGCAAATACCGCTTAGAACGAATCCCTGACGTTAATGACCGATTAAACGCGCATTCGTTTTTCACCACACACAATAGAAGTCGCAGAAAGGATTAAAGAAAAACGAGCAGCGTTCATGCTCTCAACTCACAGCCAGAGCAAGCGGCCACGTGATCTGGAGCTGATTATGCTGCCAATGTTGATCATAGCCGCGCGGCGGGGTTGGCAAGGCACAGGACACGCGCTGGGTTCCAGACATTGTTATGGTTCGGCTATTGTCATCATTGCAGCGATTGGTCACGGGCCACAACCCAAATGCTTCTCGCGCTATTGATTATCACGAGCCCGAATCGAGTGCTCACGCAATGTTTGAGTCCAACCTATGAGCCACATACAAATAGTCACTATGGGGGTACTGTGAATTCCCAGTTACGTCATCAAGTTTTGCAAAGGAGAGATGGAAAGAAAGCGCTCGCTTTTGTCCTTGAAATTACACTGCAACAAAGCAGTTTCTTAGTCAGTGGCATTGCGTGCGAGTGTACTTGGGTCCCATCAGTGCCAGTAAGCTCGTGCAAAGTGAATCATATTCCAAGCAAATATCGTTGCAGGGCCACTTTAAAGGGATATTGACAGGGTATTTATGCTTACCAAGGTTTTTATTTGTACATGACATGTGAGGGCTCAACTACCCAGAACATAATTTGCGACTCGAAATTAATTTTCTCTTCGCCCGAAAACCGCCGATCAAGAACTGGCCGGTTTGAGTCGTGCTCACTCTCTTCTTCGTGGTCACATACCGTTCTGTATGGTTTAAACACACACGCTAAATATAATCAAAGTCGTGGGTCATCAGAGGCACACACTCAATATTAAAAATAGAAAAAAATATATAATACCCATTTTTTCTGGCTTCTATTTTAAAACAAAAGTTGCAGAGACATTTTTAAGCACCCTGTGCCTTCTATGCATAATTCTCAACATGGTGTCGTATCACGGGAGTCGCGGGCTGGACGACTGAGTGAAACGTACTAAACGACGGCGGGGGTCGATGGGCGTGGAACCTCTACTTCAGAACTGTTGTTCGCGGTACCGGCAAGTCTCTTTAGCTTTGAAAAAGAAATCTTTTACCGATCAAAACAATTCAGACTTATTCCGTACAACATGCCCGACCACCAAACTGATTCGCACAAAGGCTTCGCCGACTCGTTGCCCCCTCCTTCTGGCTGAAGACATCGCTTGCCCTACGAACACGAAGTGGTAGGAGCTTGAAAAAGATGGAAATGTCAAGTACAAAGTGCTTGACTTTTGTGTTTTTCGTGTGCGATGTGCGCGTTTTTTCTCTAGGTACCTTGCAGGGCCAGAAAAACTAAGGGAAACAAAAAGAAAGAGAAAACGTGGTCGTGTGTAGCCACGTGACTTCCGGCAACTCTTTCCTTTTCTACATTTCTTTTTCCTCCCCAGTCCAGTTTCGGTTTCTAGCAGTTGCGTTTTTTATTTTAATGTATTAAAATATATGTGATGCTGTAGCAAAATATTTATTGGGTAGTCTTCTGACACCATAATAAATCGCTTGGAAAAAAAATATATATTTTGGGGGTGTCAAGTGTCCCTTTAAAGGGGAAATCCGCCGATTTTTTGGTAGACTTCGTTTTGGCTGGAAATTTGCAGACCGCGTCAATAACCCTTTCTCAAATGATAACCAAAATATTTTAAGAAAAGAAAAATTTTCCGTGAAGTTATTGCATTTTCAAGTTACACCGGCCGCGAGGGTTCCAGGAGGCAACTCTCTACTGGCAACAATGAAAAATCCCTACTTTTCCCTACCCGCGTACGTCACGAATGTGCAGGCGGACGATCGACTCGGGCAGCCGCGAAGTGGCTTTCCGGACGCCAGCGATCGAGATAATTTTTCCGCAGCTTCAAGGTTGAAAGTTCCCTTGCAGCGGGTAGCAATATGTGCTCCGCGATAAATTGGAGAAACAGTGCCGGGAAAAAGCTTCTTTTTTTACCCTTGTTTTCGTGGGAGAAAAAAAAAAAAAGCGTTCCCCGGCAGCAATGGAGGCCAGCCGCGTCAAGGTGCTTTTGCGCGAGCTGTGTGCCGAGAAAACTAGTGTCACAAGGAACATTTTCACTTTTGCTCGGAATACTTTATAGCCGCGTGCTGCGAGTTGAGTTTCCTTCAGCAGCTGGAACAGCTTCAAGAGCGGCAAGCGCAAACTCAAGCCGGCTGTGACCATTACGACACCCGTCTAAACAAGGGCGCTAATAATATTGAGAAATATAGTACACGATCTAGCACTATAGTCGACATTTTGCACAGTCACGTTTGTTATTCACAATTAATTCACTGATTTTTTTTTTTTTTTTCTTTTATAAACACTATATTTGTTTCGGACGTCGAATCTAGTTCGGGCTACTTGGGCTAAGACAAGGGCTAAGCTCGGGCTAAGACGAGAAGTGAAACGTCTAAACAAAGTTCAAGACTGAATTTAGACATGAATTTCGACATAATGCTATTCCTGTCTGCTATTACAGAGGTTTATGAAACAGGTTTTGAGCTCCATTAAAATACGATAGAGCCTTGCCTGGTTTGTTAAATGGTTGGCGTGCAATCTCCTTTGCAGAAAAAGTGGTGAAAACGTCTTTAGTTTATTCTATTGCGGAGGAATTTTATATAGGGCTGAAAAGTTTTTTTTAACCATGAAAATAATAATATTGTTGAGGGGAGGCATTCAGATTTACAGCTGATAAAAACTGTGCTAAACCAACTTAATTAAAAAAAATCTTATATAGAATTACCCTTTCCCCAAATGCTCTCGTGGACGGGTGTTTGAACGCGTTGCATTCTACTCAAAAAGTAAAGAGAAAAAATACGGGTACATATTTTTTAGCAACTTTTGTTAACTTATTTTTATTAAAAGATTTATGATGTATTTCTGTACCTCACACACTATTGTATCTTCAAGCAAATATTCTTTATTTTGAGATGAACAGTGTATTTGTGTATTTTATACACATTCCAAACCAGTCCCATGACTCGTATTCAACACTTCTACAATACCCTCAGGGGAGCAGATATTGATGTTTTTAACAGAAATTTCGTAGCTTTCAAGACGTTGTAACTAACCTGTGAACATTTTGTTGTGCATCATTACCAAGGCGTCAGGCTGTCCATGAGCACCGAAAATAAACAAATGATTTAATGAATGAATTCCATTGCACCTTGATGTTTCGCTTGGTGTTTGCGAAGTTCTTTTAATCGTCATTTTAACACAATCATCATGACCAGTAACCTGCCATCTGATCTACACGAATGCAGTTCATTCCATTCTATACCTTTCATTGTTTACGAGAATCACAGTCTACATGTCTTAGGTCCCAGCACAGCTTGAACATGTTCATCGCTTTGGAAGACGAGCAATGTACGCGCCACACACACGAACGCTGAAAATGGCATCGACCAGAAGCGCTTTTCAGAAATGGTCTACAGATCTTTTGCTAAATTACTTAAGCACCAAGGAGCATATTCATGCCACATGCCACATGAGCTGTTGCAGGCTGACGCCTGCAACAGCAACTTTTCAAAAGGAGATCTAAAACAAATGGCAGGTTCCTTCAGGTCATACGACCGTGTGGGGCATCTGTACCCACATTCCGAGCATTTTTCGCGGTGCTTTGACAATTCGTCAAAAAATGTATTGCGAGACCCTTCGACCTTTCTTCGCCAGCCATCTTCTAATAAAAGGAATACGGGTTTACTGATGATATTACGAAACTAGCGAGCCGCGGCTTGAGCGTAGCGAGTTGCAAAAACGGTTTTATGAAAATTCCAATTGCTTCCGTTTTTCTTTTATTTTTTTACTTTCTTATAGTTAGGCACGTAGGCCAAGGCCATACTTTGTGCAAATATAGATAATTATCTACTTCAAACAGCACGAACGGCCAGGTTCTTTTCCTCTTAGACGCGAGAAAGGCGGGCACGAGCGTACCCGATTGCCGGCCGCGCGCCTCGCTGCACACAAGTGACGTCACGCTTGGGCGGCGGGGAAAACTGGGGAAAAACTAGGGAGAACGATGTTTCGGTTTCGGCAGCAAACAAAATATCACTTTTTTAATTAACTAGAGTGAATCTGGGAGAACGACGTAGCATTTCGGAATCAGGAAGCCATCCGCATTCAGATTATGCCTTTGGATTAGGTAGCCCAAAATGTCGGCGGAGTTCCCCTTTAAAGGACACAAGGGAAAAGAAATTTTTTTTTTTTTAAACAGCCTGGATGGGAAAAGGAAGTTATAAAATGAATGTACAACAAACAAGAAAAGTTTTTAGAGCTATATTTAAGGCGTGAAGCGAATTTGTATTTGGCGCCCGCGGAAAAGTGGTTGCTATTTATTACATGGTC